CATGTAAGTATTTTCATGTGTGTTAGATGAAAACTGTATTAAGTAGCAAAAATGTCAGCACATTTCAAAGATACTGCATTCATGTCTTCCTAGGATTCAGCCTGTAATTACATTTATAATTCCTTTGACCCTACGCCCCTCAGTCCAGTCAATTTACACCATTTTTATGAAACCTTCAAAATTACACTTGGTCCCAAATTGTCTGCATGCAATAGTAGAAAAAAGCCAAGCTAGTAAGAGCTGAGAAAAAAAAACCAAAACAGATAAGTCATGAAAAATGTAGCCCAAAACCACACAGGTCATGAAGTCTATAAATTACACTATTCAAACAGATGTGCTCTGATTTCTGATTTGGTCTGTAGACTAGACCAAATTATACCATTCATCCAAACTTCCCGACTCTTGTAAAGTGCTTGGAACATTATGTAACAACTTTTAACAGACAAAAATCTTTTGTAAAACACTAATCATTTCATAATCCCACATGAAACTCTCGAACTGGTAAATGACCTTGAATTCATTAACAGCTAGGATTGCATTAGAGAATATTCCTGGACACATAGTCAACAGTCACAAGTTGAACCTCCTATAAAAGTTAGCCAAGCCAATACTTCCTTTTCCCCAAATGGTGTCTATTAGCACAGCTTATATCACAGAGCACTACAACTTCAGGAGTTGCTCTGGTAAGCATCTTAGCTTGTTTCTTTCCCAATTTTAAAAACTTTGTTCCAAGAAAGTAAAGCTTTTAAAGGGGCATTGTTGTGCTGTTGCTCAGTTCTGTTCCCAACAGAAGACCCTCAAAGATCTTCTCTAAAATCCACGTGGTATTTTAAGGCTGGCACAAAAATCTGGCATTTAGAGCACCTGCTGGGAAGGTGACACCTTGTGAGCTATTTGTTTTTTCCCAGGTAGCTTCACAACATGATATTTGCTCTCAGTGTGTCCTTGCTGTATGTTAGATGCTGCCCGGTGAATAAAGTAATGTCGTAGTGCCACCTAGTGGGAAGTTCTGCTTGCTGCCTCTCTTTTTACAGTACCGACAAATAACGTGTTAAATAACAAAAAGGAAAATCGGTGTGTTGTTTTTCCCTGCTTTCTGATATTCCACATTCCAGTCCACTATACTATTAAAAGCTTTTTTTTTTCCTCCTAAAAAGCAGGCAATAGTTCAGAGTAGAACAATACATATACTATACTTTTCCTCAGACTGTCATTTAATAAATATCTGGTATTTGGTGTTAACTGGCTGATTTAAATATATACTGAGTTCTGTTGCTGTTCTTTTGGTTTCATGCCAATATCTTAACGCAAGTTTCTCTTCAATATTCTACTCTGTCTTTTCCTTTATTTACTACAATGACACACGTTTCCAGCTAATACTATTTCCATTTTGTCTCAGGGACTCTAATGACCTGTGAAATGAGTTTCAAACAGCTGATTCTTTCAGTAGTAACGAGGATTTTTTTCAAGGATGGCACTAGCTGGTACATTAGGATCGGGGAGCATAAAGTTTAAAAAAAAAAAAAGGATTAATGATTGCTTTGACTCAATACAGGTGTGATGACACAACTGGAAATCATCTTGTCTTTTAAAAATCACTCTTTGATTAGAAGTGATTAGAAAGGATGTTAGCTAATTAGCTGCACTAGCAGTAGAACAACAGCTAAAACTATTGTTTCTAATAACTTCATCACTGTTATAATGGGGGAATTCACTCACTGCTGTGGAATTTTTTGAGGGGTTGGTTTTTTTGATGACTTCCTAAAGGAAACATGTTATCATTTTCTAATACTGTTTTTCCTCAGCTGGCATTCACTTACCCCAGTGCACAAAGAGAAGAATGATTTAGTGGTTTGAGGAATGGGGATGAAGGGAATAGTACAACGCAAGCAGGGAACCTTTTATTGGTATTTGACACCTCTGTAATCACTGGAAGATGACTTTTGATAGTTGCATTACATACATGTATAAGCTTATTGCCATCATGCTAGCACAAAGTGGTTGCTCAGAACTTGGTGGATCCAGCTCGACTCAGCAACCACTGAATTCTTCTCGCTAAATACTGCGACTTGTATTGCTCTGTGAATTTTCTATAATATGCTGTTAAACACACAACACACTGGGGGTGGGTTATGTTATTCCAACTACAGGTACACTTGGTATTTATTACTATTAGCCTTTTAAAGGTCAAAAACTTGACTCGCTCATTTGTAAAGCAATCTATGTTTTGCTGACAGAAGATGTTATAGAAATACAAGGTATAACTGACAGCTAATCATGAAAGTTCACCCTTTAGCATACAGAGGCATTTTTGCTGATTTGAAATATTTTAAGTGTATGATTCACTTGAAATGTTAAATGGGAAAAAAAGTTTCTTAAACCATTACCCCCAAAACCAATAAACCTGAGATAAAGAGGAATTAACCAAAGAAACTGTCTTGCTGAGTATCATTGCATGAAAATTAATATTCCTTTCAATATCACTGAATGCAAATAATATAGCTTCTCCTATTGTAAAATTAACTATCTTCCATTTTGGCTACCAAGACTTTTGTCTTAAATGTAAAGTTTCCTGATTAAAATAGGAGTCCTTCAGGAATAATCTATTTCTATACTTTAAATTCACCGTTATTTAAATATTTCAAATGTGATTTTTTTTTTTCCCCTCTCAAGAAGATGGAGGAGGGGGGACAGTAAAACCCAACAAGGCCATGCAAGACCTGCATGAAAAAGGAACTGAATTTCACTTAGCTCAGACAGCTTCATAACGATACTTTTTTTTTAGAAGCATCTTGTTGATTTCTGTGGTTAGGAAAAGCAAAAAGTAGTAAGTGAATAACTTAGTTTCCTGATTAACTTTTCAGCAAGCCCCAACAATTTTAAGTCTCAAAAATTCTATTTTTGTGATTACACAGAATTTACATTTACGTACTCTGGCAGACCTAGACAAGCCGCCTAATGGGCTTTTCAAGAGAAAACACTGTTCATCTTCACGTGAGTAGCAAGAGCTGGACTAGTGGTCTGTAAAGAGACTACAGTGGTGAAATATCATCATCTGCAGAAGACAGAAATAAAAATGAGCCCACCTTCAGAGCTAAAAGTAAATAGCGTTATTCATGCATAGTGCCCCTCCTTGATAAATCTGTGAGTTGAAACCAAAGTAACACCACTTTTTTTTTTTTCTTTTTTTTTTAAATATGCTTAAAGCTGTATCCTGTATAAACTACTTGGCTGCCCCAAATGACTCCTTAGGAAACTGTACTTTGTAAACAAAACAAACCTCTTTAACTTAGGGCTCACTTACAATGTTACAAGACTTCTTGCTTGCTTTAAAATAAAAAGAAGTATGAGGAAAGAGGGCATTTAATGCGTTCAGTGGCTGACTTCATAACATTTAAGTCATTTTGACCAAATAGTAATAAGTGAAGTACAATTAAATCATGTGGCTGTGTAGCAAAACAATTTTAGCAAATTTCTTATGCACAGTATAAAGTTTCCTATTTGATCTCAGCAGACACCTGAAATAAAATGATCAAATGTTTCTTTAATAGTAACATAAGAAAAGACGATCACAGGCTATGTGGTAGTTTCACTTACTATTTTTACAAAGTAGCTAATCCAAGGCTGTACAGGGGAGTCTGATGCATCATTACGTTATGGGAGCACCATACTGAGAGGTAAATAGGAGTCTTGGTTTGCTCTTATTTTCACAGTCACAAAACTTTTATGCCCTCTTCTTCAGATGTATTGAAAAAGAAGAGTTATTTCAAGGCTTAGAATTCTGCTTTGCTTCTCTAGCCAATATTGCCCTGAGTCTAATATTGGGTAGATAGTACAAGGCAGAAAATCAATGTCAAGTCTTACTCAAGTCAAACACAGGTATATTCATATAGTCAACTGCAAGATAGCAACCTAGAAAGCTATTAGATACTTCTTCCTTATAAACACAGCCAATACTGCTGGAGTCCACAAGATGGAGTAAAACTTATCTCTATAACCTTTTAGCAAAAGTAGCTTAAAGCCTCTACTTAGCTCATATGAATCATGGGTGAATAAGAGGCTGCTGATCTCTGAATTCTCAACAAAAATATAAGAGGTTCCCTGTGCTTTGTGGAACAAAAGTTGTTAAATTTTCAATGTCTGAGAAGCCAAGAGGACAGAATCAATAAAGTAGCTTATAGTAGGAGAACAAATAAGGTACAGACCTGGAGATTTATTTTGCTGCGAGATTACTGAAATTGATCTTCAACTCTCCTATTCCCTCCTCCTTCTCACATTTCTTAACCAAAAAACCTTTCCTTTATGTAGCAAAAAAGCTAATGTGCAGCATCTACTATCTCATGACTAAATGAGTGATGTATCTCAAGCACATACAGTTGCTGGATGGAAAAATGGGTAATAAGCCATGCATTAGTAGGCTACATCAATATTTGAGACACCCAGTAAGGTCAAAGTTTCATACTAGGGTAATTTCAGTTCCCCTTCATGGTAAATCTTTTCTACCAAACACAGCCCAAATACATTAATGAAGTAGCCTTTCTGACTACAGTTATTTTGTAATGTCAGTGATGCGAGCAAGCACTTTTCAAAACAGTGAACTTGTCATACCAATCCACCATTTTAATCAAGTTACGATGACTTGATTACAGGCAGAGTAATAAAAAGCTCTTGAAGTTGTCACAACTTAACTGCAAAAATCTGGGATTTCAAAAGATACTATAAATTTTCTAATTGAAAATGATGTTTGGGAACACAGATAGCCACAAAAACCTGTAAAGTGTATTTTTGTTACTTTCAGAACTTGTTTAAAAGTAAACTCTTTCTTCATCTTCCACCACCCCCCTCACGCCCCCCGAGTCTTTAACTCAGAACGCCAAGCAACCTGCTCAGGTCTGGAAAGGCTTGTCTTACAGTCCCGCTTATGCACGCAGCTGCTTTGAAACCGTTCGGCTGGCTCTTCGGCACCTGCCCCCCAACGGCGCCTGCCCCCCCACCGGCAGGCGGGCGGCGGGCAGGCAGGGCGTGGGGCCGCCGACTCGATTGCTCATGACTAGTGTCATATGACACGTTAAAGATGGCTGAAGGGGAGAGCTGCACGGCATCTGCCGCGGAAATACAAGACGACTTTGAGATTGTTGACAAAAAACAGATTCCTAATACGACTGAGCTGAAAAACGAGGAAAAGGAGAAAACGGAAGAAGCCAGGTGGTCTGCTCCTATCTTGTCGCTGGCCAAGAAAGCCTCGGAAAACTTAGCGCTGAGCTATGGCAACGCTCTGAAGTCTGCATCTTTGGTAGGATTCATATCCAAACCAGTCAGCAATGACAGCACAGCAAAAACAAGTATGGTTATGTTTATTTAGTAAACTTGCTTTTATGGTGCACAAATAAGTTTGCTCCCGTAAGTGCTGTTGATTAGCGTCAGTGATGCATGGTTATGACTTTGAATTTATTTTTAAAAATCTGATGCTGCAGCTTTTTATTTAAGCAAAATTATACAAGCAACACAGATGTAGGACTTAACAAAATTTATTATAATCGGAAGAATCCTAAACTCTTAATATATTTGGGAAAATTGACTTTAGTTTTGTGCAGTTGGCTTTAATTTGATTCCTTTTCTCCCTCTCCCTTGAAGTTCACCTCAGCAGCAGCCTGACCGCACTCGTAAGTGATCTAGTCAATTCGTTATCCCTCCTAGGTGTGCTGGTTCAGAGAAGGAACTATGCTGTACTTCTTGTATAGCTTTCATGTCGGAAAGCGGACAAGTGAACTAAGATACAGAGTTGTTATAAATTACTGTTTAACTATTCTAAAAATGCCTCCTATTTAACCACAGCTTGCTTTGTTAAACATCTGTATTCATGGATATAGCAATCATACAGATTTATGGAACAGGTCTCTTAGAACTGAATTAAAAGGGCAAACAAGACTGTTCAAATGTAGCAGTAATTGGGCCTGGAGTCTCGTACTCCAGGCTCTCAGACTAGCGCTTAATGGTTTCAGAGCAATGGAGCTCAGTTTTGCTAATAGACACTGACCTTTTTGTTTTTAGTGATATTAAGTATTCAAGCTGGAGTTCTGTGGGGATGAATTGTGACTGCATGGTGAAATAAGTTACTGCTGATGGACTTGTTTATTTTTTTGTAAAAATTCCTCAATGTTGCATAGTCAGAGTTTAAGATTAATTCTGTCCTGAAAAAACTAGATTCTTGCCTTTCCCTGCATCTAAGTCTCACACCAAACTTCTCACAGATTTGTTTCCTGGATGCCCATCTTGAGCACCTGGGATCTAACCTGACAAAGGGCAGAATATCCCATTTTCTTCAGTTGCATCTGTAATAATGCTGTGAATAGATGTAATTCAAAACAACATACAGCATTTGGCAAGGGTCGGGGAATAAAATGGTCTCTTGCCTGAAACAGAGCTCCCACACTTCATGGAACTTTTACCACAATCTTTCAGCTTCTTATCTGTAAAGTAAGGGAATACAAGACTATGTCCACAAATTGTTCCAAGTATTCAGATAATATGTTGATGAGTTTTATAGAAAATTCCATAAGAAAAACCTGTCCATAACTTAGATATGAAATATGAACAGGCACTAAATCACCTATTCTGCCTATTCATTACTACCTTTGACCAAGCACTATAAATTCAATTTAAAGCAGGTATTTTTAAGAAATAAGCTGAAGCCTGCGAGACCACTTGTGGAAAACTAGCAACTTGTTCCCTGCTGCTATCTTTTTCCAGAGATTTTGTAACCTCTACCTGTGCTGCACGCTATGCAGTCAGTTGGACATACAGAAAGACACATTATAAAACCAGTGTCTGCCATTGGGGAGACTATGTCCTGCCTTGCAGAGAAGGCTGGGAGCTACAAATATAAAGAATACAAATCAAGAAAGACTTGCAGTCTTAAAGACCAAGAGATGGAGAACTGTAACTTTTCTTTGTACTTCAGTGTTTTCTGACTTCAAAGCGTGCTGAATAATTACAGTAAACAAGGCATGGGGCTTCAAAAAGATGTTAAAATGAATCTGTTTAATTGAATGAGATACGAGACTGTGTGACTGCATTCTTAAAGATTGCAGCATAATGTCTGTGATCTTTTGCACTTAGGTAACCCGATTCCTAATCTTTGAGGCTTGGCTTTGGTAATGTGCCTAATACCTGTCTATTTTGCATGTTCCAACTTGTATACAGTTTTGCAAAAGATGTACTTGACTGTAAATTTGCAACAGTCTAAAAAATATTGTTCAAGTAATTGTTTAACTTAATACAAACCCTTATTAAGACACTTTAAATTTGTGTTTGTAAAGAACGTTCCATTCACAGTATTAACTTTTTTTTTTTTAAGTCTTGTGGATAATACGTGTATCTTGAACAAGGCTTACAAGCAAAGTATTCCTGATAAAGTAAAAATTCAAATTCAGGAAACCATCAAAATAAGTTGGTGTTGCTGCTGAAACACCCCAATACAAGGAGTTACTGATTTTCTGTTTCTGCAGTCAACTTTTTTCCTGTTCCTGATGTGTAACCTGACAATATTGACAACAAAATTCAAGATATGACAGCCTTTTTAATCCTCAGTCTCATCTCAAGACATTGTATGCAATTTTGAGGCATCCACTACATTGACTATAGTCATTGATACAGTAGGCTACTGAGAAGACAGGACTTTGTGTGCTTTGTGATTATTAAGATCAATTTGACTAGAGTGACTCCCTGTTTTCTCTTCTGATACAGGAAGACTTTTGCTCAGTTTTAATCCTAAATTAATTATGTGCACAAAAAGGAAGGTAATAATGAAAATTAGTACCGAAAGAGACTTTTGCATGGTCTTAGGAATAGCGTTAACAATCTTGCATATGACTGACACAGGGGCTCTACCTGTTAGACTTGGTCTTCTGGAACTGCTATTTCTGCAAGGGAGCATGACCATGTCTGATCCACAGGTGACAGCAGGATTCTCCTAATGCAAGAGCGTTGGCTCAAAAGATGATTTAGGTGACCATTGGTCTGCGGTTGGCAGCCTCTGTCAGAACCTGTTGTTGACTGGAGAAAAGCTGGCAGCCTGTGTTTGTCTCCCCCTCCTTCAGGTTTAAAGGAGGAGAGCCTGTCCCGCCTTGGCGGGGAGGAGCAGCGATACCTGCCTGGCGGCACGGCGGAGGGGAGGCGCTGAGGAAGGGCGCTCGGCTCCCCGGGCGCTGACAGCCCCACGCAGCAGAAACTCTTTCTAAAATGGCGCCTGGCGCGGCCCGCCCTCTCCACGCTTGGTCTCGCGAGAGTTCCGGAGGCGGGGGGGCGGGAATGGCGGTGGTGGTGCGTGTGCTGTTGCCGTGGTAACGCGGGCGGGGAG